TCTCTCTCTCTCTCTTTGCCTCGCGCTCTCTCTCTCTCTCTCTCTCTCTCCTTCAACTCCCCATTCTCCCTCTCTCTCAATCCCTTTCCTCTCTCTCTTCTTACCAAAATCCCACACCATATCCCGGCTCCACTGGCTCTGTTGGTAAGGCTGAGGAACGCGGCAGGCGGCCAGGCAACATACACGATTCCAAGGATAAAACAGTTCACCCCAAATACCAACTGTGCCACACCAAGGCTAACACCAGCCTTGTGATGGTACCTGGAACGAATTGAATGACAAATATTTTAATAAAATATTTAGTTAAAACTATATTGTTACTTTAACTGTTGTGTTTTTGCATGTATGTAAACAATAGGGATCGTTCACAATGATTTCACGGATTATCAGATTATCCAGCAAACATAGTTTTATAACGTTACAATAACGTTTTTTGTTTGTTTGTTTGTTTGTTATTTTAACGTTTTGGTAACGTTATGATAACGTTCTGTATTTGCTCAGGTAACGCTCCTCCTCTTGTTCTCAAAGTATTTGTATAATCATCAACTTCCCTGTTTTCTACTCAACGCCAGGTGGAGGCGTGTTGGACTCTTTATCTGACTGCATTCAGCCAGAGTCCTCTATAGAGTCCATTTATAAATAGTTCGAAATAATTGAACATTATGATGTTAAGCTGAAAATAGTCTCTGAATTTAATTTGCCACAACATGTGCTACTAGCAGTTTCTGACCAGAGGCAGAATTTACCGGTAGATATGTTGACAAATTTGTCAAAATATTACCATTTTATAAGGCTTCTAGAACAATGAACTGCAATCGTAATTGAAATAAAACGTCCCAACGGTTATCAGCAAATATACGTACGTACGAACACCCGCTGCCCTCTCTCCCGGGTGAACTTACCTTTCAGCAAAATATGCTGGAGGGGGTTGGGTGAAAAACACCGGAAAGGGAACTCTCTGGGGGGTCTGGTTCATCGTGGTTGCCAAGGTGATAAAAACTTGTTTACACGCACTTATCTGCTGACACTGGAATGGACAATGAAGTGGAGACAGCTAATGTGACATGTCCCCTAATTAACATGCTTTGATTATGCTAGATATATTGTCTAACTGTCTAACTAACACTGGGTCCCTCATAGCATGCCGACGTTTTGTCAACGTCTGGCCAACGCCATTATTAACTCTAAAACTGGAGGTAGTCAGTCAATGCTAGGTCAACATCGGCAAGAAGCGGTGGTACCTCACATGTTACTCTGTTATGAATCTGAGGCATATCAATCAAATGAAAACTTTGGATGACGAGAAAGGTGGCTTGCAATATGTCATGTTAGACTGAATAGAAATTGTAGAGAAGAAAGTGCTACGTGCAAGGGGTTAGGGCAAATTAAAATATCGCGACCGAAAAGAAAAATGACTCATCAGTAAAAACAAATATTTATTGAGCAGAAGGCCAACAGATATATAAGACAGTGTCTAAATCACAAATAATACAGATACGTGGATGGCAGTAATAGAAAATTACTTGTATTGTTGGGCAACTGCTGTTCAAAAATTTGTTGCTTGAGCGAAAAATTCAAGTTGCGAAAAGCAAGTACGCATCCCATAATGTTGAGACGTGCGGTATGGCTACTCGTGAAAAGTCCACACCTGTATCTCGTGCAAGATAGGTACTANACAAGACCGATCATGTGCTCCTTCAGCATAAAAATGTCACGTGGCATGGTCATTCATCCGGTAAACTTGTGGAAGTTTCGAAAATGCAGTAAAAGTTTTATGCGAAAAAAACTTATTTTTGCTACTCGAAGTAAGTTTTCATATTTTTGACATTCATCGTGCTGTAAACTAAAGTATAAGGATTATATCACTGAAATTGTGCATAGCGTTTAGGACCACCTTGATGTTCAAAAAGCTGTTGTTTTTTTTAAACACTTCCCACGTGTTAAAGAAATACAGTGTCATAAGTAGGCCATGACGTCATGGGGGCTGGTCGGAACATTTGACATGGGGCCAGTTGGAACACTGTCAGGGGTGTTCCAACCCACCCCGCACGGTGTTTTTCATTTTTTAAAACCTCTCTAAATATTTTAATTTCAACTTTGAAGAGAGTAGTAACGTAGTAACCCAGTACAACTCCAACTGGAGACGGAATCTAGCTGATAGAACATCTCCATGATGCCGGAATGTACATGCGTTTAGAAGATACAAGGGGGGATGGTCACTGCTTGTTAAATGCAGTTGCTAGCTGTTTGGTCGAATAGGGGTCTGCATGCCCACTGTTGCTTTTTGCGATAAATTGCTTTTAGATGTGGAAGGAAATGTCGATTATTACTCTGCTTTTCGCGGCAAAATGAAAATATTCTAGCTGAGAGCCTATGTTATGGATAAACTATACTGTACAACACCAATTCTGCCGATATTGTTTTAAATGCTTTGTGTAATGGATTGGGGGTTGCTGTTAATGTTTAGTGAACGAGGGTACAAAATCCGCCAGAAAAGACAAACATTCACCTCGTAACTTAGGCAAAGATTCAGTTGAAATCTCAGTTGCCCTCACCGGAAGAGGTGCTACAACACACTAAAGCGCACTTAAGAAAACCCCAAAACAGCTCAAGTACAGAGACTCACCGTCGCAGTCCAAAGATTAAAAGAAGAAAACGATGCAGTGCAGTACTAACTGACACACCTGAAAATGAGCTACTCGAAAAAGAAAAGGCCAAGCCCAACAAAATTAAAAAGGACAAGCGCAACAAAAATAAAAAAACAGTTAAAGATTTCTAGTCGATAGAGAAAATCAAGAAAAAGGAAATTAAAGATGACCAGCGATTCTGTGTCAGAAGAAGAGTGGCCATGTCTGGTTTGTGGGGAGCCGTTCATTAACAGCCGACCAAAAGAGAAATGGGTTAAATGCATTGTTTGTCTAAAGTGGTCACATGAAGACTGTAAGGGTGACCGAGTGTACATATGTCAGAACTGCGATTTTGATTCTGAGTTGTTGAGTTGAAAGAGATACAGTTTTCATTTGTAGGTCTAACATACTGTTGTTAATAGGTTGAGATATATGAGTTCAATTTCTTTTCTCTTAAACTACACCACTTTTGTTATCATTATGAAATGAAGTGTAACTGGATATGGTTTATACATCGAAAAGACTATTTGAAAGCAAATTGTAAATGTAAAAAATGCTTACAAACTATGGAGATACGAATACAAAGTAACACTTACTTGTTGGGAATTTAATATAGATAATCCTACTCTTAAAATGAATTATACTTTGAATTTATATGCAAGCGTTCCAACTCGCCCTCTTGTTCCAACTCACCCCACTGCCTGTTCCAACTGACCCCGCGGGTGGGGTGAGATGGAACGTTTTAGGAGGCAACTTTGAGCATTTATAACTCTAAAATAAAAAGACCTACTTGATGTTTTATTTCATAGATGAGTGCGGCATATAATTTTCCCCTATCAGATTTTTTATTTTTGTCCCCAAAGCTTTGACTGCTGAGATATCGCAAAAAACGTGAAAACTGTTCCAACCAACCCCGCTCTCCCCTACCTCACATGTTACTCTGTTATGAATCTGAGGCATATCAATCAAATGAAAACTTTGGATGACGAGAAAGGTGGCTTGCAATATGTCATGTTAGACTGCATAGAAATTGTAGAGAAGAAAGTGCTACGTGCAAGGGGTTAGGGCAAATTAAAATATCGCGACCGAAAAGAAAAATAACTCATCAGTAAAAACAAATATTTATTGAGCAGACGGCCAACAGATATATAAGACAGTGTCTAAATCACAAATAATACAGATACGTGGATGGCAGCAATAGAAAATTACTTGTATTGTTGGGAAACTGCTGTTCAAAAATTTGTTGCTTGAGCGAAAAATTCAAGTTGCGAAAAGCAAGTACGCATCCCATAATGTTAAGACGTGCGGTATGGCTACTCGTGAAAAGCCCACACCTGTATCTCGTGCAAGATAGGTACTACGGAGAAATCAAGGCCATGAATGATAACCTGGGTCTACGTGCATCTGATGTTCTTCGCTTTCAGTCGTTGGGTGAATGCTCACAATTATGAATTTCATAAAAACTAACACGATTTAACGGTAACCCTAATTAAACATCACCCTAACACAAGCTTAAGACGACAATATAGAAATAAAAAAAAACTTACAGATATTTGTTTCTGTTTTCTCAGGTTTGGTACTTGGTAGTAAAAGGACTGCAACAGCCAGCTCCTTCTTCCACAAAACCTTCTCGCGTCCTACTGACGTAAAAAATAAGAACTAAACTAGATAAGAAACCGTAGATATTCAATTCTTTATTTTGATTTTACTGAAATTCGTATTCAAACAAATAATAAAATCAAAGTCAAACTGTAAAATTATTCATATCAAGTCAGATTATAAATATGCAAATATGAAATGTTTGCTCTTTAAAGTGAATATTTTCCACAGGGTCGTTTCGGCTTATTCTTAGTTGCAGATAATTCTTAACCAGCTGAACCCGGTAGCGTTATTACGACTCTCTTTAAGACATGTTTATAAGAAGCCCGTAACGAAAAAAAAAAGAAATAATTGTTAATGCTAAAATAGTAAATTAATTAAGTATAATAAGATTAAAAATAAACAAAATAGTAAACATGATAATTAGATAACGAAAATGAACGTGTTTCTCATTTGAATCATCATTTTATTGTAAAGCCCAGCGTGATTTATTTTAAATCTACCTTTTGAGACTTAACAAAGAATTCGTTTTGGGATTTAAAATGATATAATAATTAGTGTGGGAATTGAGTCAGTACTCCCCTCCCCTACCAAATATGATTATGAGACTTTTCAGAACAGAAGATCCGAGGATGTACTGATCCACGGATCAAATATCGCGGACCCTACATGAAAGAAGAGCCGACTAAACCGTTGATGGTATCCCTGCCTCCACACGCTCTGTCCTTGCAGGGGACTAGCAATTAAACCTCGGAGTCGTGATTTAATCCGTTCAATGGCGCGTGTGGAGGCAGGGAGACCATCAGAAGATTAGTCGACTCTTTTTTCGCCATATTTGATCCGTGGATCAGTAGATTCTCGGATGGTCTGTTCTGAATGGCCTCCAAGTGGCAAATAAGGGAAAACCATTGATCGAGGACACAAATGTAATAGTAATGAAAACATAAGTTTAAGCAACGTGAACACTGCACCATGCCAGCGACACTATTTCAGAGTTACATACCAGTTCTTCAGAAAAAGTAGATATGTGATATGTGCAATCAAATAACTTGTCGCTGTTTACTTAGAGGCGCGTCATTTAATCAAGAGATATACGGTATCAAACGGTTCCCGTCCAACCAATATAGATAACATGAAAGGGCTATGTGTGTGCGTGCGTGCGTGTGTGCGCGCATGTGTGTCCTACTATTTACTTTTAAAACCTGTCTGTAAGAGATGAGAAAATATTAATAAACATATGGCCTACAAAATATAGTCGTTGATGTCCACGATGTAGTAAGCCACTATTGACAATATGTCTGTGCGCTGCATCACGTATGTTTGATTGATCTAGGTATGGGAACCCAGTCATAAACTGCATTCCCAGAGATTTAAATGGTCCCATCTGGATCGACCTAACTCCCTGGGGGTTCACGCTAAATATCTGTCAGCCGACCGCGCACGACAGTTTATTACCCCCTTACAGCTTTTAGTAGACGGGACAGACATTTAAGCCAGTTAAGCTGACACCAATCTACCGAGACTCCCCAGGGGGAAAGATCGATCTAAATATCTATGGGAATGGGGTCTAACAGACGGTGCTGACGGCTGGGGGTGACTACACGTGACATGTCAGAGGTCACGGGAAACAGCAGCTGGGTATGTTGACAAGTAGTGTATCCAGTGACCCTACCCTAGGTTCTAGATTTCGGTATTGCCAGCTCGATCTTGATTTCATATGTAACCCACATCAGCAATACCGTACCCTAGGTTCTAGATTTCGGTATTGCCAGCTCGATCTTGATTTCATATGTAACCCACATCAGCAATACCGAGGCCAACACATGAAAAGGTATAGCGAGGAATCTAGCTTAACAGCGCTCTGACATTTGGGGTACATACCCCTGAAACTGGCCGTAGTGGGGGTATGTAACGGGAACTCAGTTTAGGTGAAATCGGACTGTTACTGAAATTATTTTTAAGAAACACTGAATTCAATAAGAACTATTTTCGGAAAAGTTACAGTCAGCAAGTTTAAACCACGTGATGTCTTCACTGAAATTGTGAGGACTAAATTTGGCAAAAGAACACCAATATAAAATTTTCTCTAAGAAAACGTTTTATTGTATATTCTGATATACGTATGTGGCACTCTTCACTTTAAGCATAAGAAAATGACAGCGTGGGCGTTATACTGCGCTCTAGATATAAGGTTTGAACGAGTATACAGTATATGCAGCTGTATATACTTTAAGTAAGTCATAACTATCAAAATACATAAAATGTAAGTTATGTGCGTAAGTTATCACGTGATACAACAGATCTTGTCTAAACTTAGTAATGTATAATTCAACAAGAATTTGTTCTTAACTGGTGTTTTTTCTCACTTTTTATGTGGCAGAATGTGTACCATTCGGTCTGTAGTTTTTCCTTCTAGAAAATATATGGTCTTTCTCAATCCATTCTTCAATCGCATATTGAAGCAATTTTACAGCTTAAAAACTCTTGAATATACATATTTAAAATATACAATTGAAAAGAACATTTGTTTACAATGCAACATGCATTCTGCAGTCTTGAATATATAATATATATATTTATAAATTCTAAGTCTACTTAAAAGTTCCACGTAAAAAGCAAATATACTAGCAGTTTAAATATGGATAAATATAATATTCATATTCAATTTTATAAACACTTAAAAATCCTTTGGTTAAATGTTGTAATATTATGCAAGAAAAAAGAGTGTCTACAAGCTGCAGCAAGTTAAGACAATCAACTGGCAAAATAACATCACTGTATTTGTTCTTTTAAAGAACAAAAATACTTTTCAAATATCACAAATTAGTAATTCAAATATGTAAACATTTAACAGATCAGCCACAATTCTCCAATAATACTTTTATGGCAAACTGAATTTTCATCATTTTAAACTTCAAAATGAACATCTGCATACGATCATAAAATCAATTTTACAGACTGGAAATATAACCACCCTGCACATGAAATGGCACGTGTATAAGACCTGCAAATTTATGTCCACTGCTTTATATATAAGTCAAGTATTTTCACAGTTGACTTTTATGAGATGAAGAAGAAAGGCATAAAACAGCAATTAATGCCAAATGCAATGCTAACAAATCTCAAATTTCCACCATTTTCCACTCGCCATTACTGCTTCTGTGGCAGAGGTCCTGCCTGCTGTCCTGTGGCGCCACCTACTGGCTGCTGCTGGGCTTGGGGTGGTGGTTGTTGTTGTGGCCACTGCTGCTGCTGTTGTTGTTGGGCAGTGCTGTAAGCTGGAGGACCCTGGGCATACATGGGCTGGGGATAGTATCCTCCGACTTGGGGCCCCTGCTGTGGATAGTACACAAAGCCTGAAAAGATATGTTTATGATTTAGTGAGAAAGTGGTGTTTATGGAGAAGAAAGCAATTGAACGAAAGTGTTGATATTATGAAGCAAAGTCTACATTTTACTATCAAACATTATACAGACTGAATGCTTCCTAAATACATTTTTTCAAGACCTCTGTGAGGAAAGAATACTTGGAAATAATATTTTCTTTAGATACATATTGTCTTATCTTGCAATGTATATGATCCATAGATGGCAGCACCTATGTGTAACACGTATGACACATAGATGGCAGCACAAGATGTGAAATTCTCTCAATCCTATTTGAAAAAAGTCAAATTCCTTCTTTTTTTATTCACATTACCTTGTTGTCCAGGTGCCACAAAAGCCACAGTATTTTGTCCAGCATTGGGTACAGTATAGTTGACAGTGCCTTGGGTGGAAGGCTGCAATATTATATGACATAATATAATTTAATGTTTATTATATGATATGATGTTTAATTCATATAAAAGATACAGTATTAAAATATTGATAAAAAAGGAATGCTGATACAGGGTGACATGCAAAAAAGCGTGAAATAATGACATTACCTTAACATTTTGGAGACATAAATATTGCCCAATTGTGTAAGATGGGACAAAAGTTCAGTATATTTTGTGCAAGATGTGACAGGAAGTTCTGTTTATATTGTGTTAGATGTGACAGGAAGTTCTGTTTATATTGTGTTAGATGTGACAGGATGTTCTGTTTATATTGTGTTAGATGTGAAAGGAAGTTATGTCTATATTGAGTTAGATGTGACAGGATCTTGCATACATTTTGAGTAAGACATGACATGAAATCGTGTACATGTTATGTTATATGAGCCAGCAACAAAAGCACTGGTATTTTTTCAAATGTATGGGTCCCGTTTCCAATCTACAGGGTCTTATTTCTCGTTTTGATGAAATAAGATAATTAGCCGCATGCTTAGAGCTTGGTTTATGAAAATCTCCATACAGTTGAAAAGCCTCTTTAGGAATGACTCTACTAAAAAAACAGTTCCTAAATGTTGGCTGTAAAAAGTGATGAAAGCAAATAGTTTCTGTAAAATTAAGTGTTCTAAATATAATATATCCCAAGTATATCAAACTTAAACTGTTCTGAAATGCAAAAAGCACAAACCTGAGAACAGCAACAGACACCATGGCAACAAAAGGCTGATGAGATAACTGCTATCACCCCCTCTGTAAAGGCGACAAAAACCAAAAACCCTGACAGTCCCCTGATCACACTGGACTGAAAAAAATTAAGACATGGCATTTTAATTATATATAAATAAATGCATTTAGAATTGGTAATATATGAGAATAAGAATTTGTTATAACTTTTTTCTTTTTAATTTAATAATAAAAAAGCCTTTAAACATAGCAAACCCTGGGAGATCAAGATAAAATATTTTGGAAATAAACATTATAAATGATTTGCTGGGCTTTAATTCTCACGCTGCCTCTGTTTTGGCCAAATGCCTTCATTTTACAACAAACAAATATATAAATCTAACCAGGTTGCTGAACAAAAAAAGGTTCCACTTACATAATAGCTCCCGTAGCCACCGTTAATGGCAACTTCCACCGACTGCATCACCATGAAGACGAGCCAGGAAACCACTGCTGATATGATGGACATGATCATGAAGGAGATGATCTGGAAAAATACAAATACATACAGAGAATAAATGAAATAATAAATAACTAAGCATACAAAAGGCTTTTGAAGTAATAAGTAATCAGTAATTTACAGGATGCACTGACAAGGGTAGAAAATATATATACATGCCCTGAATATAATATATTTTTCTTTTTCTATTATTATAATTATTCTTTTTCATTAAACTTATGCTATATTTGTTTTTATTTATTTTCCAACAAGCAACGAGATTTTCAATATAACAAAGGTTTCCAATGATTCATAAAGAACAGAAGAACCTGATACAGTTTTATCTAAAATTGAATGTACTACTCACCAATCCCTTATTCTTCTTGTATGTAAGAATTCCCAATACCCCAGTCCCTGTGAACTAAAATCATTCTTCATATAAATCAACATTTCAACATTCATATTGCACAATAACATATTATACTCATAACAAATTCTTTTTCGACAGAACCTAACATTACCAACTTTCTTCTACAAAAAAAATCTACCAGAGAATCTGTAACATGTTGCTGTGGTATTTACACTGCTCAAACCTTAAAGGCCTCTCTCTCTCAGTCTCTCTCTTTCTTTCCCTTTCTCTCTCCCTCCCTCTCACTCAATCCCTCTCTCTCTCTGGTCTTACCAGAATACCACACCATATCCCAGCCCCAGTGTGGTGGTTTATGCTGAAATAATAGGTCCTGTAACCGTAACTGTAACCTGCTGGAGCCCATGAAGCAAAAACAATACCAAAGATGAGAGAGATGACCCCAAGCAAAGCCTGGGTTATACCAAGTCCCACACCAGCTCTGTGCATGTACCTGGAATACATGAGAAATATTTACTGAAGATAGGAGTAAATCTTGCAATTCTCCATGGAAGTACTTAATAATTTTAATTTATAATTAGGTAAAAATAATCACCTGGTATAATTACAATGATACAATGAATTATTCATGAATTAACCATCATACAACCATAAGATTAAGTTAACACAAATCTTTTTTTTCTTTAAATACTAATATCCCATTCCAGTATTCACCCAGTATTCGCCAATGAACTTACTTCTCAGCCACGAATGAAGAACCCCCAGTAGGTGGCGCTGTGGTAATCACTTGCTGCCTTACTACCTGGGGGGTCTGGTACATCACTGTCGTCATGGTGATACAATCTTGTTTAACTCTGACTCACTTATATACTAAAACTGGAATTGACAACAAAGTAAAGAGTTTAATATGCACATTTTGCAATATTAAAATCTTTAATGAACTTCGGGATCTTGTCTGTGACTATGGGACCATTCCCAGACCCTATAGTACTAACTGTGGATCTATCTATCTCAGAGGGGATTCTCTAAAATTGCAATCAACTTAAGCAGCTTAGATGTCTGTCACGCCTACTAGAGCTGCTAGGGGGTAATAACATATAATTTAGCGGCTTCAGTAGGTGTGCCAGACATCTAAGCTAACTCTCACTGTGTTACCTGGCAAGACAACTTTTATTGACCCAGGCAAGATGGCTGACAGGGTAACTAGACCTGGATAACTTCATGGTCAGTTATCATTGTTATTCTAGTTCTTAGATATATAGTTTTAGGGCAGAGAATCATGCTTTAGAACTCTTATTTATATTATGATGCAGCACATATCTGGGACCATACAATGCCAATGCATGAATATTTGTGCATATACACCATCAGAGGTTTCAGCTACTTGCACCACCAGAGATATGTAGAAGTCAGTGCTGTTATCAGTCATCCCTGACACAATAAGGGCGTCATTAACAGTGACCCACACTAACGGAAATTAATTAGATTTCAGTTGTGTCACTGATACATTCTGGCATGGGTGTAAAAGATATGAAGGTCATAGACTGGTCACTGGATTCCCATACCTAGAACGATCGAACAAAATTGGCCCATCCCTGAGGGTTTCTCGCTAAATTGCTTTCAGCATAAGCGGCTTAGATGTCTGGCACACCTACTGAAGCTGCTAAACTTATAAGAAACTGACCGTACATGTCAAGAATGTCTTTTTATGGTATGACCCCCGTCACTTGTAGTGCAAACCACTCCGGAAAAATGTAGGTCACGACTGTTTACATGTAATTATGGAGGTCTACTTCATTTCCTTTGCTATCCCAAGCTAGTTATTCAATATCATGGATTTAGTAGCAAGTAAATAAGCTATTACAATATATAACTATCTAACCATTGGCCCAATGGGAGCTTTAAACGCCAAAGGTACGTAAAAGAAACTTACAAAATGTGTTTTTCCACTGATACTTCCTGCTCTTACTAAAACATTCGCTTACTTCTTGGTCGTGATTACGTCACAAAATAAGGAATATACCAAAAATTCAAATATTAAAATTGTTATTTTGGGTTTGCTGAAGGGCACGTACAAATGAATGATAAAATAAAATCTAAAATTTTATTCAGTAATATAAACGAAAAATTATTTAATGTTCGCAGCGACTATTTTTTATAAAACCGTTCCGGATAATTCCTTGTTGTAGATAAAGTTGTTTACCTGTCCCGAGGAGAGTTGCGAAATGCTGGAGGAAGAAGAGTAAGGCAAACTTTTTATTTAAAAAACTGAAAATAGAGGAAATTCCCCAGATAGTAAATGTTGATGCACTGACATCTTTGCATCAGACTTACTTCAAAAGCTGGGTCGACTTCTTATTCAGGTCGGCGCGTTGGCAGCGCCGTATACATGTACTCACTGTGAAAAAAAATAAAATAAAATAAAAATAAAAAAAATAATAAAAATAATGATAATAATTTTAAAAAATAAATAAAGGAATAAATTAAAATAAAATAAATAAACTGAATTAAATTAAACAAATTAACAACAAACAAAACATTAATTAAAAAATTAAAAGACAAGATAATTCGGAACAAATTTAATAAAAAATCGCCATTTATTTAGGTAGGCCTACCTGTTTAGTAATGACAGCTGTTTTATCTGTGTTTACATTGTAAGGTTTTTGTAAAGTTCAATACGTGTACCAGTCGGTATAATAAAACTACACTAATTCTGTAGTAAATAAACCGAATGAAATATCTGGATGATGTGAAAGGTACATACCGGGGTATTAGTATGCAGGCCTACCGGTAGAGCTAACAATATTTATTTATTTATTTATTTATTTATTTATTTATTCTAAATCCCACTTAAAGGTATTGACATTTCTATGGTTTGAACAAATTAACACATACAGGGGTATATAGGCCCTACTACACGGAATTTTGACACCAGAATGAATTTACTTCGGGAGGAAATAGCAATTCTGCCTTACTATTAAACATTGCTAGACACGTCCTTGTACTCTAATTAAATGAAGTTTATTTTGTTTGAAATTAAGTCACTCCTAGGTCGTCTGTACATTTCAGAAGGTACTATCGGTCATCTGGATGATCAGGGAATATGCCATACAGTCCGATACATGTTAGTAGGCCCACATGCTAGTTTTTTAGCCCATCAAAGATAAATTTTGCATGAACTATATTTGAACAAGATTTGCCTAATCAATTTAACAGAACTTTTTTTCTTTATTATAGCAATGTTTTGCTAAAGTTAAAAAGTTCAAAATCTGTTGCATACATATTTTGTAATCTTTTTAATTGAGCGCCTGTTAATGAAGACATATATGATTTTGTGAGGTTCAGAGATTTCCTCCGAAGATACCTTGGATAATTTATGCCCTTTTTCATGTCAATTTTTTTGCTATATAATCAAAATCTTGATCAAGAGTCTCCATGGTGCCAATGACGTCATAATGAACCGCGCACGGGTAACAGAGTCTCGATATGGGAAACCAGTGGGCATTTATCACTCCCTTTGTGTGCAGTCTCCTTGTTTCTATCCCTCGATAATCGAAGAGTACAAAATCTACGAACTCCTTGAATGTTGGTTTGGCATTCCACGTGCAATTCCCGCGATCCATTCTTTTAAGTACCCGTTTCATGTATTTCACTAAGCGTTTGAGTTCATAAGCGAGAGATGCATTTTCATAATGCTGCTCCTCGAAATACATGTGGTAAAAAGACACAAGGCGTTCATAAGGAGGGCGTGTTAGCAAAACTTTGGTGTAATTTTTCAGAATGCTGTTCACGTACGTCTCCGGTGTGTTGGGCTCTAACCGATTAAAAACAGTCTTCGTTGCCTGCCAGGTTTTGTGGGGAGAAAGTGCCGAAAGATGCAATCTACCGGAGTTCTCGTTCTGTCTCGCGAGAAGTAGTAGCCTCTTGAAATTGGTGGATCCGGCTTTAGGTACTTGGCAATATAACATCTTGTTCTTGTGATCGATCAAAAATTGTGTTGGGGAAACAATGCCTTCTCGTTGCCTTAGTAACGATGACAGGGACTGGTCATTTAACTGGAGCATTTGACATGCTGCCAATACAGCGTTCGATCTCTCTGCATATAAACTAGAACTGTTGAACCACCCGACTGTATTTTGACTGGGTCGACCTTCTGTTGACGTAGACAATAAGCTGGCAGCCGGTCCTCCTATAGAACCCACTTGTTTTTCATAGCTGTTGGTCATATTGAAATCTGAGAATGAAGAAATTGAAGAATAAAAAAAAAAAAAACTGATGGATATTTTAACTTCGGTAAAAGTAACATGCTTAATAATCGACTGGTTTAAAAAGGATCGTTTTTTTAATCACGCCAGGAAATGTGAAAATGTAATATCTTCAAATACACACACATAGAGTGTGTATCAGCAGGGAATTATATCGGATATAATTCCCTGGTATCAGTAAACAGGTAAAAGATAAAATATAGAACTCCATTGTCAATTTAGATGTTTTGTGCCAAATTAAATTTGGATTGGATAAAGTTTTAAAGATTGGATAAAGTTTTAAAGAGTATAGCATGGAAGATTTTACCTGGAATCCTTAACAGAGCTATGAATGACGTCACCGCAAGGCTCGTCAGTGGCAGTCCAACGCACCACGTGACCACGCGCCTTAGGTTCACACGCATGCGTTAGGCTTGAGGACAACGATATTTCATCTGGTTATCTGGTGTGGTGAAAATATTTGGTTTAAATGTTTAAATCAAAGTATATTGTCAGAGGTGGCTTACCTGTATTTTAGTTTTTAATTTTACCTCGTTTAACAACAAATAAAATACAAAGAACCCACTAAACATACACTGGACGTGCTTGATGGTGCGTGTAAGCAAGGAGTTACAACTCCTTGGTGTAAGTCAGGTAAATTATCATACCGATGTTGCACTCCGGCGTGTGTGTGTGTGTGTGTGTGTGTGTGTGTGAGAGAGAGAGAGAGAGAGAGAGAGAGAGAGAGAGAGAGAGAGAGATCTGTCAATTTACTAAAGCGCGCGAATTAAGGACAATATCTTACCAAGTCGTCTTACCTTCTCGCTGTGTCCAGACATCTTGATAATGCTAGGATGTCATAAGAACATCGATTTTCGCCTATTTTGTCGGCCAGGTGTCCGCTGTCGCAGCGCTTTTAAACACATTAAAAGCAGCTTGTAAATCATGTGTGAGGCAACATTGATTTAAAGGAAAATTGTACATTTAATAGATCATAATGCAGTGCACTTGTACGACTGAAGGTAATTGGAGGGAAAAGTCGATAAAATGACGCTCAGCTTAGCAAACATCGAGAGATTATTTGATTGAACGTACAGCATTATGTAACCGTGCCTTCCATACTGCATAATTGATATTGTGAATATGAGCGTGAAGTAACTGTATTGACTTTGACTTGCTACACACCTGAACAAGGAACCAACGTAATATTTTAAAACTCAAAACGAATGCGGAGACCCATTATAAAAGATGGGACTTACATTATATTGGGCATTGCAAAAAAAAAAAAAAAAAAAAAAAAAATTATATATATATATATATATATATATATATATATATATATATATATATATATATATATATATATATATATATATATACAGGTATATCCGAGTGAAAAACGCTTTATTGTTTAATTAATTAAATTATAGGCCTAACAATATAAATAACTATTGTTATGAACAATAATTTTTTATTTTTTATACAAAGTAATGTTTCTTAGTTAACGACTTGTTAAATTTTTTGGCTCAAAGGATGACAGTGCGGACACCTCCCCGCATCGCCCCTCATTGGTAAACGCAAACCAATAGACTTACCTACAAATAAGAATAAGCGGAAACGGTTTTGTGAAAAATATTCACCTGCGAATAGTAAAAATTTACAGGTATAATTTGATATTTAATTAAAATTATTACAGTGAATTACCTGTTTGTCTTTGGTTTTATTACTTGTGTGTAATTAATTCAGTATTGCCAGAACAGCAATTTAAATGGTTGTAATTAAGATTTATTCCTTGTTTAATGGTCACAACAACCCGTGAAGGTTTAATTAACGATGCTAAGAGAAGGTCTGGCTTTCACTTGTGTTTACTTTCGTTGTACATTACCTCATATAGTCACCAGCTTTTTCTGTATTCTAAGCAGGCAGGGAGTACGCAGTGGGGCGGCGCTAGAAAATAGCTATAAACGTTAGCATGTCTTATAAGGTTCGGCCTACTTTCCTGCGCTGTAGAGCTGGACGGGTGTGTTAATGCACTTCTGCGTGCTTAAAACAAAATCTACCCAAGTTCAAAAGACAGTGATCATCAGGATTTAAGTGCATTTGAAGTAAAAAAAAAAAAAAAAAACGTTTTAAAAAATAGCGTCGACACGAAAGGGAAGATTTTGGGAACGAAGTGAAGCAAGGAGCTAGCTTTTTGTGAGAGCTTACCTCTGAAGTGTCTAACCTGTGGGAAAAAAGAAAAACAAATATTTGTAAGTTTTTTGTACAATACTATTGCTTTCTTCAGCTTGGGATAGGGCGATGTTTAATTTGTGTTACAGTTACAAAATATGTATATGCAATATCTGGTAAATTACCAGTTTACATTCAAATACAGTGAAGGGCACAGAATGCACGTAATCCGTCGTAATCACAGGCCGTGACTTTAGTAAAAGTTAATTTATTATACATGAGGCAGAGCAGCCATGCTTGCAATACCAGATGACACCGTGTGCTACTTTCTACTTTGATTACCATTGCAAATTTGTTTCATTTGTAATTTTTTCGCCCAAAAAAATAAGAAATTGCGCCTTATTATATATATATATATATATATATATATATATATATATATATATATATATATATAGAGAGAGAGAGAGAGAGAGAGAGAGAGAGAGAGAGGATACAGAAATATTTTAATATTTTAAAAATGTTTAATGTTTTAAAAAACATGTGACTTTTTCATATGAGCTGTCTCTACTTCATTGTCCACTTCATTTCCAGTAAAGTTGATTGAAACGAAACAATGTCACCGACAACAGTGATGTACCAGACCCCACAGGCAGTAAATCACCAAGTAAGCAGCGCAGCGACACCTGTTGGAGGTTCTTCATCATTTCATGCTGAAAGGTAAGTACTTTATTATTGACACAATACATCCCAAAGACAGGTTAAGACAAAATAATACTAATAATAATAATAAATAAAAATAATAAAATAATAAAAGATAATAAAAAATTGGTACGTATGGTGTAACTGCCTTCAGTCAAGAAGTCTAAAACTGATCGTTTTGATTTTATCAGATTTATTGCCAAAGTCAAACGTAGAACTGAAAGAAAAGAAATAAAATAAGTAAAAGTGAAAAAAGTGTCACGTAAAATGTATAAATACGGAAAACATACTAAAAATACAAGAAAATAACTAAAAATGATACTGAAAAATACACTATTACATACGAAAGTGTAAGAAAAAAGTATGTGGTACAGGCATGTGACGATGCCGTTGGGCCGTTATAACAAGAGAGGGAGATGTAGAACAAAGGACGGCAAAAGAAAGTAAAAAAGACAGATAGAATGGAAATGGACTTCGCGTGAAAATTACCAAATAAAGTCCATACTTAAAACAAGGTAATAATAGTAATAGTAATAAAAACCCGAAAATAAAAACAAAAAAGTCATATCAAGCTATATCCAGTGATTACAGTATATGAATGAAAACAGTTTAAGTTTTTCGGCAGTTTTATTTTGCTTCAAAACATTAATCGAGGAATTAAGAATTAAGGCAAGTGGGGTACCGTACAAAAACAAGAGGGTGCTATAAAAACGATGTCTATGTTACGTACCAAAACGCACATGCATCAGTGCATGCCAAATCAAGGTCGTGCCCATTGCCAGTACTACAGTGAAAAAATTTGCCATGAAATTTAAATCTTTACATCATTTTGTCTCTCATTTTTTGTCGCCAAATATTCATTTTGGCATCTCTTTTGAAAAAAATTTAAATGGAATTTAAGTTGATTTTAGAAGGAGAATCAAATTTAAGATGACGGCAGACTATTATCAATTGAACCTATTCGGTAATTACAAGCAAATCAGAGTATAGTTTTAACTCTAAAAATGCATTTGTTCCAGGTACATGCACAGGGCTGGTGTGGGACTTGGTATAACCCAAATTGTTCTTGGGGTTATCTCTGTCAGCACTGGTATTGTTTTGGTATTGCTTCCGGAATCTTACAAGCATGGAGCAGGGATATGGTGTGGCTTTCTGGTAATATACGACGAGAGAGAGAGAGAGAGAGAGAGAGAGAGAGAGAGAGAGAGAGAGAGAGAGTGAGTTCAGTTAGGTTACCATAGCAACGTATTACAGATTCTCTGATAAGATAATTTGTGAAACAAAGTTAACGATCTTAGATTTGTTAAATTTATGTTATTAAGACTGACTAATTCGTATTCCCATACTATCAGCATGGCAGGATTATGCAATATAGATATTGACTAATTTGAAGAATGGTTTTAGTTCATTGTGACAGGAGCACTGGGAATTTTGGCACGCAGGAAAAAAATAAGGGATTGGTGAGTTCACATTAACCTTCGGTTTAAGATTACCTTCTGACTTCTATGTTTTTCAAGTTTTTCTTGCTTGAAAATATCAGTGCTTCATACAAAAAAAATATATAAAAGAGACAAAATGATGATATATGTACATATACTGGTAATTACGTTATATATATATATATATATTGTATATATTATTATATATTTATTCTTTGTTTGTCAGGACATCAATTAAAATTTCATTTTTTTTATTTGTCTGGCTTTTCATTCATTTATTTATTACTTCAATCTTTCCAGGTCATCTCATATATGGTCATGTGCATCATATCAGCCGTTATTTCATGGACAGTCTTGATAGGTTTCTCTTGGGCTGAGATCCTTATGAAAAAAGTCGATCCTCGCGTTCCGTATAAATATCAGATATCCTTTGTAAGTGGTCCAATTTCAATCCTTTTGTTTTGTGTTCAGTGAGATGAGACATTTTGAGAAAGAGACGCCAACTTTGTTTCTAAGGGTGTATTCCCAGAGATTTAGATCGATCCAGAGATTAAGATTTAAATCGACCTAACTCCCTGGGGGTTCACGCTAAATTGCGGTCAGCCGAGTGCGCACCGTAGTTAATTACCCCCTTACAGCTTTCAGCAGGCGGGACAGACGCTTAAGCCGGCTAAGATGACAGTAATCAAGTGAGACTCCCCACAGGGATAGATCGATCTAAAATCTATGGAAATGGGGTCTAAGTTTATGGCAAAACATTTTTCAGCTCAGGTGCACTGTATTTTTTCTGAGTGCTTGTTTTCAAATCTTACATTGAAAATAAAACAATTGTGATAAAAAATGTGTACTTGCTGAATACTTGCTGAGCTTTTCTTTTTTACAAATTCCAAAGGCAAATATTTATATATTTCTTCGTCACAATACTTTTGCAGGCAAATGATATCAGGGGATGGTCAGTGTTTTTGATTTTCGTGGCCTTTACAGAGGGGGTGATAGCAGTAATCTCATCAGCTATTTGTTGCCATGGTGTCTGTTGCTGTTCTGAGGTCAGTGCTTTTTGAACTTGGAGCTGTCAAGATTTTGCGAATTTGGATCATTTTCTTATAGAAAATGATATTTTTCACTACCTTAAAAAACATATGCCTCTTTTCATATAGACATTCCTAAAGCTTTATTAATGGTGCATAAAGATTTTCTTTAACCTGTCGTTTAGCACATGGCTTATCATCTAATTTTGTCAAATAAAAAATTTAGAGCCATATATTTGAAAAAAGAACAATGTCTTTGTTGCTGGCTCATATACTGTTATGTGTAGAAAACCTGTATAGAACTTCCTGCAATATGTATAGAACTTCCTATCACATCTAATGCACATAAAAAAGAACATGAATTTTAATTATTTTGTTAATATTGCATGTTGTTAAAATGACTTAATCTTAATTAGGACCTATTATGTTGTATTTAATTATATTGCAGCCTTCTAGTCAGGGTACTGTCATCTATACAGTACCCAATAATGCACAAAATACTGGGGCTTACATGGTACCTGGACAACAAGGTAATGTGAATAAAAAGACATGAGACAAAATTTATATAATATAATTATTAGTATTTCGTATTTTGTGCTGCCATCTCTGTGTCACAGACATTGCACATATGTGCTGCCATCTATGGATCATTTACATTACACATTTGGCCATCTTCTACCCTGGACAACATGCTGTTTGTGCTGCCATCTATGGATCATTTACATTACACAATTGGCCATGATCCACCCTGGACAACATGCTGTTTCAAAGCTATTTTCTCACAGAGGTTTTGGCATGTTTTAAAAACTTTTCATTTGAGAAATTTTTCAATATGTGTTAACATAGAAAATTATCAACATTTATTTATTATTTTTTGATTTCATATTCATTCAGATGTTTGTGTCTCCATCAGACCATATATGCATTCTTCTCATTTAATCTTAAAAACCTTACCTCCTTCAGGCTTTGTGTACTATCCACAGCAGGGGCCCCAAGTTGGAGGTTACAACGCCCAGCCTATGTATGTCCAGGGTCCTTTAGCGTCCAACATTGCCCAACAACAACATCAACAACAGCAGCAGCAGTGGCCACAACAACAACCACCGCAGGCCCAGCCTATGCATGCCCAGAGTCCTACAGCTTACAACATTGCCCAACAACAACATCAACAACAGCAGCAGCAGTGGCCACAACAACAACCACCGCAGGCCCAGCAACAGCCAGTAGATGGCGCCACAGGACAGCTGGCAGGACCTCTGCCACAGAAGCAGTAACTGCTGGAGGAAATTGGTCAATTTTTTTGTTACGGTAGCATTTATTAAATGCGGGGCTGCAGCTTTATCTTATGAAAGTCAACTGTGCATGTATATATAACAGGGTTGAGGGGATTTGATATGTTATGATTCTTTCATTATCAGTATAGATAATCCAGAAATAGACATTGTTTTGTGAGGAGGTAATGCTGTCATACCAAGAAATCCATCAGAATTAATGTGCTCATTTGAGCTATTGGTAGAACAGCAGCTTTTCTGAAATATCTGTAATAATCTGTGGATTGACCAGTATACAACTTGCTTCAGCTGAAAAACAATTTAGTAATTTCAAAACAGGCTGTAAACTGTTGAGTGTCCAAAGATTTTGCGAAAGTTTGTGAATAACAGTCAATATGTAAAACTAGGATATTAATTTGTCTTGCCTGAAGCTGCCACACTTCACCTGTATGTGTTCACAAAGTGTTTACAATTTATTTATGGTTTGGGATTTGATGTTTGTTGTCTGTTTTATATTCAGATTTGAACTAGACCCAATATTTTATGTATGTTTTATATCCAAGAGACCAGAATGCACATGTACATGGGTCTGTCACAGTGTTAGCAAGCCCTTCAGATAAAAGTCCTACAGGACTCTATAGGAATCCTACAGGACTCCATGGTACTGTCATCTAGAACTCTCTAGTAATTTGACAGGACTCTGTAGGAATCCTACAGGACTCCATGGGACTGTCATCTAGAACTCTCTAATAATTTGACAGGACTCTATAGGAATCCTACAGGACTGTCATCTAGGACTCTCTAGTAATTTTACAGGACTCTATAGGAATCCTACAGGACTGCATGGTACTATCATCTAGGACTCTCTAGTAATTTGACAGGACTCTATAGGAATCCTACAGGACTCCATGGGACTGTCATCTAGAACTCTCTAATAATTTGACAGGACTCTATAGGAATCCTACAGACTGCATGGTACTATCATCTAGGACTCTCTAGTAATTTGACAGGACTCTATAGGAATCCTACAGGACTCCATGGGACTGTCATCTAGAACTCTCTAATAATTTGACAGGACTCTGTAGGAATCCTACAGGACTGTCATCTAGGACTCTCTAGTAATTTGACAGGACTCTATAGGAATCCTACAGGACTGCATGAGACTCTATCAGAATCCTATGAAATTCTCTGAGATTTCCATGAATCCCACAAAACACTATACGAACCCAACAGGACTCTATTGGACACTATAGGGACCCCAAATATCCCATAGCACCCTACCGTCCTATTGGATTCCTGTAACAAATATCCCATAGCATCCTACCGTCCTATTGGATTCCTGTAACAAATATCCCATAGCACCCTACTGAATGTCCTGTAGGTTCTTATAATTAAGATTCGGGAACAATTTCCTATAGAACATCTTTTAGGACAATTGAAAGGACCTTATAAGAAATTCAGGAAGAGTTATGATAATCATGTATTATAACTTTGTATCTTATCCAAGAGCTTTACAAGTTTATTGAAAAATTAACACTATAAAGAAAGAGATTTTTTACTTTTGGAAGACAAAATGAAAACTTACATATCAGATGGAATATTAATATACACATTTTGAATATCTGAAAGATATTTGGCTCCAGAATATCAAAATATATCTCTAAAAAACATATTTTGGTTCATTCTGTAAATTAATTTTCTCTCGCACTCATAAATGGTGCATGACTGTCTCTATGAAAGGTATGAAAGAAATTTTGGATCATGTGACCCAATGCTGTTTGTTCACATGTTATTTTTTGTGTGTTTTGATAGTAAATGTATCTATTTATACACAAACTACATACAATTGAAGCAATCTCATAGGCTCAGCCATGCTGCATATCATGAGTACATGCCATGTTTATTTTATTGTAATAACTTACAAATCTGGGGTTGTCACCCTTATAAACACATTTATTTTTCTTATGCTCTATGTGAAAGGAGTCTTATACTTTTAATGGAATGTAAAATGAACCAATTTTTCTTGAAAGAAATAAAAAACATGTTTTTTCTGCCAAATGAGTTCTCATTGTTTCAGTGATGTTATTGTCATGTGGTTCGAGAGATGCCAAGGGGGCATTCAGACACAATAACAGTGAGGGTACCATCACGCTGCTCAATGGCATTTTTACTAGTATGTATCACTATCCACCTCTTCATTTTGGTTTTCTAATATTTATGTATTAATGTGTTTATTTAATTGAAACATCATAATCTACAATTCAATCTACCATAATTACAGTAATAACATGCAAACTATCTTGTCTGTTTTCATGAAACTTATTTTATTAGCAGTCAGATAATAACAGTACTAATATTTTGGTTGCAATGAATTTTTTTTTACTTTAAGTTAATAGCAACTTAACTTTGGCAAATGATGACAACAACCCTTGCCTGAATTTTATTCACACAATACAATACAAAAACAGATCACTACAAATAAGCACCCAAGATGTAATAATCCAAATAATACTGCTTATAATATGACACTGGGATATATTGATACTATGTATTACCATTTCTTAATACTGGTAAATAAATAAATAAAACCAACAAAATATATAAAAACTAGCAGGGAAATTTCACTTAAAATCTTTAAACAACACTAATACAGCAAACATAAGTTTCATGACTGAATAAAATGCTAATATAATACCTAAAATCATCAACAAAACTAAACATCATAGCCTTCAACAAAACAATTAGTATAACTGTAACAGTTGAAATACCTTAATTAATAGCTCTTAGACTATTAGCACTTGTAAAGTGCATATTTCCTTTTCCTCAGGTAAAACTAACAACAAACAAAACCAAGAAAACAATTTTGATTGGAAAACAAAGAAATGCACAATGTATTTCTCAATACCAGTCACACTATGGTGATATTGAAAAGGATTATATCACACCTGATTATTATCACTGGGATTATCCATGTATATTATGTCCTCACATTTAAATTAAACATAATGAAAATAATGCATAC